CAGCCCGGGGCCCCCAGGGTGGCAGGACGGGCCCCGCCGCCCAGATGCCTCCGCCAGGCTGAGAAACACGCTGAGCCCCGGTTCCCATAAATCCGGCTTTTATGTGGCGATGAATGGGGCTGAACAATGGATCTGTTTCAGGCTGCAGAGAAGCAGGCAGCCTGGTCTCCCCCCCACAGTTAGGAGCTCAACACGGTGGGTCCTGGCACCTCGGGCCCCGTGAGCCTCGTGCAGAGACGCTTGCTTGGGTGTCAGCGGGGACGGGCCTCCTCGCCCGGGGTCTGCGCTGGCCTCGCCTCGTCCTCGCCCACAGGAGGGGGTCCTGTTGGCAGCCCAGCCGCCTGCTGGCCCGTCGTCCCATCGTGGGGGCACGGGGTGGCCCGTGCTCTCGGGTGGTGTCCCCCAAGTCTCCCCAGGATGGGAAGCCCACGCACACTAACCCCTCACACACGGTGCAGCCCCTGCACACTCTGCCCTGCAGGCCTCTCACAGCTGCGTCTGCCCCGCCAGCCACCACAACCGTGCTCTGCTGCCTCAGCCTTCCCCACGCCCCTGGGTGGACACGGTGCTGGGTGGACACGGTGCTGGGGAGGGGGCCCATCGGCCTCTTCTCCTGGACAGCCGTCCCCCTGCAATACACTCCATGGTCCCAGGGCACAGGACACCCCCCCCAGATAAGTGTCCCTGTAAAGTTCATGTTCTCCAGACTGTCATCACCATGTCCCCAGCCCTCCCCCACGGGAGGGGACGGGGCTTGCGGAGGGACCTGAACACCCACCGCCCCCACTCAGCCCAAGGCTCACTGGTTTGCTTGCAGCACGCACCTCGCAGAGAAATGCTGTGGGTCTGCCCCCAGCTCCCAGCCCCACCTCCCAGAGTAGCCCCGTTCGGCGGGTCTCCTCCTACCTGCGTGTTTCCAGGGAATAGGTTTACACTGTGATGGTTGCTCGTGTACGTCCCCTTGGCCAGGCGTCAGTGTGAAGACCACCCTCCCCTCCACCCACCCTGCCAGCCGCCCTCTCCTGGCCATCCCCTCAACATGTCCACTGAGTCAGCCCTGAAAATGGCCCCCCTGAATTCCCAGGGAAAAAACGCTCCCCTTCAGCCTTGCCGAGGTCGGTCCCCAGGCCCCAGCCACCACCTGCAGAAGGGAGGAGTCCAGCAGGGACTCAGAGGCCTGCGGGGACCAGGCAGGCCACTCACACGGGGAGCCCGGGGGAGCAGGATGTCTGGGCACGCGGGGGCCTGTGGAAAAGCTTCCCGCACAGAGCTTCCAAATTCAATGACACAGGCCCGAGGGTCGGACATCCTGCCGAGGGCTGCCAGCGAGCCTCTGCCCCGGCTTTGCTGCCTGGAGAGACCTGGGAGCTGGGCAGGTGCCTGGACCCAGGCGGGAGGAGACCCAGGACCACGCTGGCTCCCCTTCCCGGGTGGGCCGAGCGCAGACTCCCTCCTGTGTGGCCTGAAACTTGAGTCCGTGTCCAGCAAGCTGCTGTCCACCCCAGGAGGTCTCAGCTGAGCAGGGACCTGTTTGGACATCCTTGCAAGTCAACCGAAGAAGGGGGTGATTTTAAGAAGCGACACAAGCTTCAGACATTTCAGCGTTGAATCCCGTATTGTACCTCCGCCAGGCCGGCCTCCGACCCTCTATTATTCTCCAGCCGCTGTGCCCTGGAGCCCGGCCTCGCGGGTTCTGGGGGAATGGCGCCCCCTGGTGTCCACTCCCGGGAGGCGCTGTCCCCACTCTCAGGTTTGGGTTTCAAAGCTGGGATCAGGACCTGAAGTCCGGATTCTCACGGCTTTGGTTCCAGTCTTCAAGCGGTCGTACCTGCATCTCCCGGGACCGTGGCTTCTGGCCACGCTCCCCCTGAGTGGGCTTCTCCAAGGCAGCTCGGTTTCACCCCAAAACTCTTCCTGGTCATTCGATTTCATGACATTTGATTAAATCCTTCCCTTAAAATGACAAGTGTGGTTGGAAGTTGTGGCTTTGGGGACAAAATAGGTGACCTCGAGAGGGGTCCCTCGCCTGGTGGGAGCCAGGGGGCTGACCTGGCCCGGTCACAGGTTTTGTGGAGGGAGTGGGGGGCCACGGAGCCAGGCCCTGCCCAGATGCCCAGGGTGAGGACTCGGCTCTCACTCCACCTGGGTGGACCCAGTGACGCCCTGCCCTGACCCGGGGCTCGGACCAGCAAGTTCTCACCAGCTCTCCCCTCCACCCCCCGCCTCTGCCAGGTGCTGTTTCAGACTCTCAAGGAACCACAGGCTCGGAGAGGCAGTGACGGGAACACAGTCAAGCAGGAGGGCAATTTCACCTGCTGGGTAAGTGGGGGCTGGGACACCAACAGGTTCTCAGTGACCTCGGCAGGAGGCCGAGCTTGGTGTTCCTGAGCTGGGCAGCAGGGGGCGCCCCACACCACCTAATGGGAGCACTGAAGCCTGGCCGGGGAAGACAAGTCCCAGTCCTCACCTGGTCCAGGTGAAGTAGCTGCCCTGGCTCTCTCCCTTCCCACACTGCGGGCCGAGCCCCAGAGCCTGCCCTTCTCTCCGCCCAGTTAGCTCGGGAGGGAGGCAGACAGGGTGGCCTCTGTCTACTCGGCCCACCAAGACCAGAGCTTCTCACCCCACACAGGTGGGGCCCTCCAGGTGTTGTTCTCCAGGTGGACCCTTCAGGTGGGGCCCTCCAGGTGTTATTCTCTGGGTGGTAGGTACCCTTCAGCTGGGGCCCTCCGGGTGTTGTTCTCCAGGTGGGACCCTCCAGGTGTTGTTCTCCAGGTGGACCCTTCAGGTGGGGCCCTCCAGGTGTTGTTCTCCAGGTGGGACCCTCCAGGTGTTATTCTCTGGGTGGTAGGTACCCTTCAGCTGGGACCCTCCAGGTGGGGTTCTGCAGGTGGGGCAAGGGAAGGTCTGCACACAGGCCAGCAGGGGAGGGAGTCTTGGTGGGCTCAGGGAGAGAGAGGTGGGGGACATGGGTAGCAGTAGACTCAGGAGGTCACCCGGGACGGCGGGTCAGAATGCTAAGTCACAGGAAGCTGTTGGTGGTGGCTTTTGTAAAAGTGTTTTCCCTGCATAAAAGTGATAAAGTAGCCGGGCTGGTGTGGCTCAGTGGTTGAGCGTCAACCCTGCACCAAGAGGTCGCGGGTTCGATTCCCGGTCAGGGCACATGCCCAGGTTGTGGGCCTGATCCCCAGTGGGGGGCACGCAGGAGGCGGCCAATTGATGTTCTCTCCCATCAATGTTTCTATCTCTCCCTTCCTCTCTCTCTAAAATCAATAGAGAAAAAAAATGTTCTTAAGTAACAAGTTCAGGGCACTACATATACCCAGAAAGAAGAAACAAGAGAGGTACCCCAGCTCCGCCCCACACACCATCACAGTACACGTCATTTCATTTTCATTTTTCACTGGGATGGGGGCATGTGGGCAGACCCTGATGAAGCTGGGGACCTGAACCCCTAAATTCTGCTGAGCCTCCTTTGCCAGGAGCAGCCGTCCTTCCTGCTGTCTGGGAGGTCAGCCCTCCTCCCCCGAAGACCCTGCACAGTCTCCCCGGAGCACTTGCCTCACAGGGGCTGCTGGCTGCCCTCCGGCCAGGCCCCCCGTGTCTCTGCTTGTTGATCGAAGAGCTGATCCTGAGGTTCAGACATGACCTAGAAGGTGAGGGACAAACTGTAACCCCCCCCCAGGAGTCACCACATGTGATGTTTATATCACCAGAAACCCAGGGAGCAGGTATGAGGGGTTGGGTGGGGATGATGTGATATTGGATTGGCCTGAGGGCTGGCTTGGGCCCACGCGGCAGAGATTCTGGGTTCACTGGTGACAGGGAGTGGATGTCATTGACTGGTCGCCAATGCAGGAGATGCCAAGCATTTTGTCTCTGGAAGGGACAGGTGCCCAGAGGCTTGGGGAGCCCGGGTGTGCGCTGGATGGATCCATCACCTAAGACCTGCCTACTACCCCTCACCACGTCCGCCAAAGACACGCGTGCACCGTGGCTGTGAGGACCCAGGGGTGAGGTGGCCCCAGCACCCCGAAGCCCGCTGTGGTGAATCGTGCTGACACTGGGCACTGCTGCCTTGGACATACCCCCAGACTTAGTGGGCGATGGGACCCCTCGGGGCGGGGCCATGCGGAGTGGCCGCTGTCATGGGTATAATCAGAGCAGCCTGACCCGCAGAGACCTGGCGATGCCGGTGGTTCCCGGGGACCTGGAACCGCTACCTTCCCGACAGGCGCAGTCACTGTGCTTACGTAAGCAGGAAGGCGCTGGACACCCCCACTTCCTGCCTGTGCCTCTGCTCAGCCTGTCCTGCGGTGGGGGCTGCTGGCCCGGGGCTCCCTGGGGTCCCCCTGCCTCCCTGTACCCCAGGGACAGCTCTGTGATTAGCCTGCTCCTGTCGGGGGAGCTCAGTCCCAGGGTCAGACTCAGGATGTCTTTCTCTCCTGGCTACATCAAGCACCACTGTTGAGTTTGTCCCTGAAACCTCCGAAGTGGCCTGTGCAGAGCTGTTTTTCTCCCAATTTGATCTTTGGATCAGATCCCCGAAGGGGACGCGTGGGGTTCCGCTGCCAGCCGGCCACAGAAGGCCTCAGTCCTTGGCGGGAGATGAAATAAATTCAGTCTGACGGTTCCCGTAGGTGACGTCCCCGTCCCGGCCTTTTATAAGGAGGAGGCTGTGTGCCGGGGACAGACACCCCTCGGGCTGTGGACTGAGGGGCAGGAGCGGCCAGGTAACCTCGGACAGGGCAGGCGATGGGGGTGCAGCTTCTCAAATTGTACAAACGAAATCAGGCCCAGGAAACGTGGTTTAGCCTCAGAACGATGCTGGAGCCCCTGAGACTGGCCCTGCTGCGGAGACGCCGAGAACCGTCCCCGGAGCCGTTTTCCAGAAACTGCTGCTGTGGGTGGTGGGGAGAGCGGGGCCCAGGGGAGGTGGCCTCACCTTTCTGGTTCCTCCTGCCGCAGGTGGACCCGAGCGAGGCTGTGGTCAGCCAGTGGTTGCCGGGAAGATGAAGACCTGCCTGCTGCCCGGGGTGGCTCTCTGCCTCCTGCTGGGGCCTCTGGCGGGTGAGCGCCGCCCACCGGGTCGCGCCCCTGGGGCAGCTGGTGCACAGGGGTCCTGGGTGACTGCTCTTCTCTTCCCTTGCAGGGGCCAAGCCCGTGCAGGACGAGGCAGGTACTGCATCTGCTCTCGGTGGGGCAGTGGGGTGGGGGAGGGAAAGGGGGTGGGTGCTGCTTCTCATTCAGAGAAGAGGAAGGGGAACCCTGGGTGAGCGGAGGTGGAGCCATGCCTGCAGAGGGACTGGAGCCCCTGCCCCTACCGCCCTCCCAGCCCCTGGGGACACACATTCCTCCCCTCAGGCCAGAGTCCCAGCTCCATGCAGTCACATACAGACTCCAGGGCTGGGGTGGGGGGTGGTCTCCTTTGGAATCCCACCAGGACTCCCCCGTGTCCCCACCACAGTGACCCCTCCCTGCTCAGTGTGTCCAGGACAGGGGCCAGACTTCCTCCTTCCTCTCCCCTCTGCTGTCCTTGTCACCCAGAGTCAGGGCAGGGCCTAGGTCACCCCGACTGCCCCTTGGATGGCCAGGCTCCGGGGAGTTGCTGGGAGGTCCCTTCACTGCGCTGGCACCGCTGGGCACCTCCACCTGCCGGAGGCTTCCGTGGAGGGCGGCCTCTGGCAGGACCGGTGGCGCAGCCCCCGAGCCGGCTGCCGTGTCTTGCAGACCCCTACGCGGAGCTGCCCGCCATGCCCTACTGGCCCTTCTCCACCTCTGACTTCTGGAACTACGTGCAGTACTTCCAGACCCTGGGCGCCTACCCCCAGATCGAGGACCTGGCCCGCACCTTCTTCGCCCACTTCCCCCTGGGGACCACCCTGGGCTTCCACGTCCCCTATCAGGAGGACTGAGGGGCCCCGCCGGGCACCCGGCCTTGGCAATAAACTCCTGACCTAAAACGCACAACACACGCTTTGGCTCTCTCTCAAGACACAGCTGCGCTCTTGCCCGTTTCCCTTCTCGGCGGCCAGCTGCGCTGCCCAAGGTGGACTTGACTACAGAGGGCAGCAGCCCTGGCCGGGACCCGCGGCTGTTTCACCCTCTCATCCAGTCCGCACCTTGCCCCCCGGAGGGGGCTGCGGATCCGCAGCGTAGGTGAGGGAACTGGGGCGAAGAGACACCAGGTACTGCGTAACTTGTGGACGGGGCTCAGATCCTGTCCAGCAGCCGCTCCCAGAGCCCCTGCCTGACCACCAGGCTGGGCAGCAGCCACCCCGGGGCTGGAGGCCGCCCCTCACACTCGCGCACTCCCGAGAGCCGTTCACACCAGGGCAGCAGGAGCCCGTCTGTGGGGCGGGCCGGGGGCCTGGGCGCATGCCGTCTGTGCAGAGCCTGGGCCGTCAGCCCTGCACGCTGCGGAGGCAGGGGAAGGAAGGTGGGCAGCGTGGACAGTGTCTCAGGGACGGGTGCGGCCGCTGTGCGGGTGGGGGGTCCTCCCAGACAGGCATGACCCTGCGCAAGCGGGAGGCCCTGCAGGTCACACCCCACGGGAGCTGATCTCAAAGGTCAGCAGCTTTTCTACCGAAACGAAACAACAGAAAGTACCATCTGGTGTCCCTCTCACGTCGATGTTTCTCTCTCTCTCTTCCTCTCCCTCCCTCCCACTCTATCTGAACAAAAAATGGAAAAATGTCCTCGGGTGAGGATAAAAAAAAAGAAGTACCATCTGTGTCACTGCAGATACTAGTGTCTGGGCCAGCTCTGACTGCAGCAACTGCCACACCTCACCATAGACACGCAGGGCTTTGCGAGACGTGTATGTGACGTGCCACGCGGGCGGAGTGGGTGATGGGACTTGGCTTTCGTCCTGCGTGTGGTCCGAGAGGCTTGGCCGGCGGTCCCTCGCGGTCACTGAGGCAGGTGCTGGGAGCCTCGCCCGTTATCCCAGGCAGCAGAGAGGTCATTGAGAGCGTTCTCACAGTGACAAAGGGCAGGGGACGCTCCCGGGACCCAGGCACAAACACCAGCCGGGCTGTGAGGGACCTGGAAAGGGGGAGGTGGCCGAGGTGTCACCCCACTCACCACTGGGGCTTCTCGCCCGGTGGCCTGGGTTACATTCTCAACAGGAAGACTGTTGGCCGAGCCAGGCCCTCTGAGAAAAGTCAGTACAGACTTTGTCTCTTTCCCTCCCTTGAGCTAGTTTGAATTTGGTTTCTGTAAATCAACCATATTTTTAAAAAGTCCTGATTCATACAATAGCTGGGCATGAGGACTGGTCTTAGGTACCCACTGGGGACAACTGGGCCTCAGCCAAACACCCCAGACAAACGACACCCTGACAGCAGGCCCCCCCATGCCAGCGACTTGCCTGTCAATTCGAGTGTGCATGTGTATGTGTGTGTGTGCATGTTGCACACGTGTGCACGCCTGTGCATGTGTGTGGACATTCACATTCCACGCAGATTCTCACGTCCCCAGTTCGGACAAGCATTACAGAATGGTGGCCCCAGCAGCCTCTCCATTGCCCAGAAGGACTGCCACCTGGGTGCCTTGCTGGGCAGACCCCAGGGTGCCCTGACCAGACCTGTCAGCAGCACCCCACAGCTGCCTCAGGACACACAGCTGGGCTGTGTTCATGGTGGTAAAAGCTCTAGCTGACCTTCCCTCTCTTCTCAGAGGAAGACGCCTCCCCCGCCTAGTCACCCTCTGCAGACACCCGGCACCCCAGTCAATAGTGAGCCGCCCCCTCGCAGCCCCTGGGACACCTCACTCCAGTGCTTAGCCCCAGGGCACCTCAGCACACAACAGGCTCAGTGTCCTTCTATGCACCCCATCTTGGTTGCCCCTCTCAGTCAGATCATGTGGGGGAGCTCTCCACTTCCTGCCCCACGTCCTCAGCCCCTTCACCCCTCAACACGCCACTGTGGAGTTAGACACGAAAAGCATTAGCCACGGCCATGGTCCCGGTGCCTGATGGCCCGGGGCCACCATCCCTGTTGATGGACACCCGGCTTGCTACTGTGTTTCGGCTGTTGAGTGAGGCTGCTGTGAACGAGGGTGCCAATGTCTCTGAGCCCTGCTAGCAATGTTTGGGGTCTGTACCCAGAAGCGGGGCTGCAGGATCACATGGTGACTCTTTAATTTCGGAGGAGCCTCCACAGTTTCCCACTGTGGCTGCGCCAGGTCATTCCCACCAGCAGTGCTTGGAGTCCAGTTCCCCACGTCCTCCCGACGTGTTTCCTGGGGTCTTGAGCAGACGTCCTGATGGGCGAGGGGTCCCCCTGGGTCTGAGTTGCGTTTCCGTGATCAATGCTGTTGAGCATCTTTCACGGGCTTCTTGCCGTTCAAGCGTCTTCTTTGGAGAAATGTCTATTCAAGTCCTTCGTCCATTTCGAATGGGGTGATTCGTTGTTGTTGAATTTCGGTTTTCTGCACCTCTGGACATGAATCCCAGTATCAGGTATACGCCGCCAGTCTTTCTCCAGTTCTGGGGGCCTTTTCACTGTATTGACCACCCACATTCTACAATGACTATTTCTTGGACACCTCTCTGTGCCAGACCCTTTGGGCTGACCTACCTGTGGCCGTGAGCCACCTGGACGTCACTGAGCAGCTCCCCTGTGCCCCGGCGGGCAGGTGGGAAACCGCTTCCACGTCTCTGGGTCCAGACCAGAAGCCAGAGGGAACCATAGAGTCGGCGGTCCTCCGACGTCTGGATGTGCCAGACACAGAGCCGGGAGGTGGGGAGTACCATCGAGTCGGCGGCCCTCCGGCGTCTAGACCTGCCGCGGCAGGGCGCGCACCGGAAGAGGTGGCCGGCGGGCCGGAAGTGGGCTGGGGGCTCCCGGAGCACCGCGGGGGAGATGAAGCCGGCGGTGGACGAGATGTTCCCCGAGGGCGCCGGGCCCTACGTGGACCTGGACGAGGTGAGCGGGCGGCGTCGGGGAGGCGGAGGCGGGGCGTCTGGCCGCAGGAAGGAGCGTCCGCTGCCGGCTCAGCCCCGGCCAGGCCGCCGCGCGCCGTCGGAGCCTCGACCCCCAAAGCTTCGGGCCGGGCCGTGGGGAGCGGGCGGGGCCTGCGGCCGGAGAAGGGGCGCGGGGCTCCTGCACCCACTCGGGCGCCTCCAGGGACGCGGAGCCCGGCCTGTGTCCACGTCTCCGCCGCCGGCAGCGGCCCCGGGGACCCGGGAGGCTCGGGGGTCCGAGTGCAGCCGACGCCGCCGGCGGGCGGGCTGCTGCCTCCTCTCCAGCTCGGCCTGCGCCCGCCGGGGCCCGGGGTGTCCGCCCTCCGCAGGGGGGGCCGGCCGAGCACAGCCTGCTCGTTTTGGGGGCTCCCATCCCTGCGGGGGGCGCACTGTCGGGGCGGCGGGGCTCCGAGAGCGAGGAGGGCGTTGGGAACGTGGGACCCACGACCTTCGGGGAGATGCACAGCCCCGTCCGCCTCCCCTTCCTCCAGCCGGAGGGAGACCCGGGCCCCCGCCCGGGCGCCTCCCCGGCCCTCGCCCCCCTCCTGCGCGCAGCGGGCCCCGCGGGGCCGGCGTCGGGGGGCCGCGGGCCCACCTGGTCTCCCTCCGCAGGCCGGCGGCAGCACCGGGCTCCTGATGGACTTGGCGGCCAATGAAAAGGCGGTTCACGCCGACTTCTTCAACGGTAAGGGCTCGCCGGCCCCACTCAGACGGTCCGCAGGCCGAGCCGGCGCCGACGGTGTCACCGCCGATTTGGATCACGGAGCCGTGAAGCCCAGACCCGCGCCAGGCCCGGGGCTCAGGCCGGCGTGGCTGCCGGCCCTGGCGCCAGCCTGTTTTCAGAAGGAAAAAATAGCATGAAATTGCTCCCAGTCTTACATTCCGGGCGTTGGGTCTGAGCCGTAGACGCTCTTGGACACGGGCCACGGGCGGCGGGTCCGGGCTGTGGCCTTGATGCAGGGGGCGGGGGGGCACGGACACGGGGACACGACCGTCTGGCTTTCTCTCCTGCCCTCTCCGGGGGGTGTCCCGCTCCCTCCTGGGGGGTGTCCCGCTCCCTCCTGGGGGGGTGTCCCGCCCTCTCCGGGGGGTGTCCCGCTCCCTCCTGGGGGGTGTCCTGCTCCCTCCTGGGGGGGTGTCCCGCCCTCCTGGGGGGTGTCCTGCCCTCTCCTGGGGGGTGTCCCGCTCCCTCCTGGGGGGGTGTCCCACCCTCTCCGGGGGGTGTCCCGCTCCCTCCTGGGGGGTGTCCCGCTCCCTCCTGGGGGGTGGCTGGTGTCCTGTCTTTCCCGTTTGCCGCTGTTCGCCGGCGCTGCCCTCACAGGCAGGAGCCGCCCTCCGCCTGCCCCCTGCAGACCTGGGCCCCTTGGTATTTAGACCTTCAGTGCCAGGTACCAAGAGCGTGTGCGAGTTTTACGAAAAACAGTGATGCCTTTATGTGAGCTCTTCATACACGTTAGAGGGGCTGTTTCTCCTGGTGTCGGTGGGTTTCTGAGACCTTGTTTCCACAGGTGATGTTACTTTCACTAAGGATTCGCGTCATCAGTAGAAACACAGTTTCCTTGGAGGAGTTGAGTGGTGTTTTCTCTGTCACTCTTCCTCCACCAGGTGCCTGTCACTGCAGAGCTCTGTCGCTGGTCAGTGGCCCTAGGGGTTGCACCAAAGACCCTCGACGCCCGAGTCCAGGGTGTTTGTTCTGACTCCTTTGCAGGCTGCCTAGTGAGGTGCAGACTTCCCAGCGGCCCGGCCGCTCCCCTGAGGCAACGCCCTGGCTGCCCCCACTCCTGTCAGAACTGGGGGGCGTGACAGGAGCGGAGCCCTGAGAACAGGATAGCATTGTCTCCAGTCTCCAAGCAAGGGGCTGCGGGGACAGTGGGGGAGGGGAGGGGCCTTTCCCCAGCCGCCTGTGCGAAAGTGCCCGCTTACGGCGGCTTCAGAGGCCCCTCACCCTGGGCCGCAGGGTGACCTCCGCACCTAGCACTGTGCGGCCCACTCACTCGTGCCGATGACCCTGAAAGCCGGACTCGCCCTCTGCCAGCCAAGGCTGTAAACACAGTGGTGGTCTAGCGGTCATGTGATTTCCAAACAGTGCCGAGGAGACAGCGTCTGTGAGGGGCCCGGGCTGCGGAGTGAGCATTTAGGAACATGAGCAGCTTACGGCCCTTCCTGCCTCGAGTCAGGCTGGAGAGGGGCTCGCAGAAGAGCTGTGTGCCCGCCTCAGGGTCCCCGACAGCTCCCAGGCTGGCCTGTCAGCTTGTGAGCATCCCAGGTCCAGAACCCCCCTGTGAGAGGGCGTGAGGGGTTTGCTGGGGTTGAAGCAAGTGCTCAAGCTGCAGGACCGCCGGCCAGGCCAGGCGGCGAGAGAAGGAAGGCATTGTTGGGACTGTCTGGCTGGGGAGGCCTGGACACAGCAGGTGGGCACCGAGTGGGGCTGCTGCCTCCGGGCACCCCGCCCTCCCTCTAGCCCGCAGCACAGCGCACTTCAGTGCCCAGGCCACGTGAATGGGCTTGGTTTCCCACTGCAAAGGGTGCGTGTCCTTGGTAGAGAATTTAGGAAGTAAACAGGAGGAAATGACCGTGACTTTGTCCCCCCATCACAGCGAGTGGTGTGCTGTCAGTGGACGGCGTTTCTCCCAGTAGGGACAGGGCTCAGACTGCTTCTGAGCTTTGACTCTCAGACCCTATGAAGGGATCCTTCTCACGTGGCTCAGGCCCCCTCCCACCTCCCCGCCCCTCCCACTTTCCCTCTCACGGAGACAGGGGTGGGCTTGTGCCTTTCAGCTGCCTGGCCTCACCTCCACGGCACCGGAGTGGGGCCTTGGCCACAGCGCGCTCACAGGTGAGGGTGCTGACGTGTCATGGCTGCAAGGTGGCCACCACGTGGTGGGGACTCCCCCTGATGTGTTTCTTCTGTTGTCACCTGAGTAGAAAGGACAGGTGCACCCTAGACAGCACTGCCCTTGGGCTGCACCGAGCCCATGGGGACGCCGCCAGTCTGTTGGGAGAAGCCTTTGGTCCAGTGTTTTGAATGACCACGTAGTTCATTTGAATTATTTTTCAGTCACTTACCTGTTTGCCCCATTGATGCGTGGTTTTGTTCACTCACGCAGATTTCGAAGATCTCTTTGATGATGACGACATCCAGTGAGGCGCAGTGTGTGGTCTAGCCTGTGCTGCGCGGGCGCGTGGTGGAGCCCTCAGGACGGTCTGGGGGGTCTGCAGAACCGACGGGAACACCTGAAATGAGCTGATGGTTAACCGAGAAAGGATGGTTTCGGCCACCTGCTGAGGCCTATCTGTCTCTGAATGTGACAGCTGTTGTCCTCCCTTCAATTAAAAACGATGTTATCAGTGCAAGCTGGTTTTCGTTCTTGAGTTTCTGAGTGAACGTTGCAGGCCCTAAAGCTGCTTCGTGTGTGCCCGTACTTGCGCGTTGTTCTGCTGAGAGGAGCGGAGGAGGCCCAGACCAGCGCTCTGTGCCGTGCGAGGTGCGAGGGGCCGAGTGGTGTGAGACCGTGGGCAGGGCAGGGCGCGCAGGGGCGCTCATCGCACTGTCAGGACCCGGCGCTGGGTCCCCTCCCCACTGCACAGCTCCCGCCAGAGCGGGACCTCAGGCTCTCCCGCCTTCACATCAGAACAGCTGCAGTCCCCAAACTCGAGGCCCGAAAAATGAGGACAGAGACGCCTTCTGCCTGGGAAGTAGGCGTGTTGGCCTATTACAAAGGAGACTCTGACTTTTAAGTTTCTGTGGGTCCAGCTCAGCAGTTCATAATGGCTGTAAAAATTAAGATTATTTCAAATCAATCTCAAAGCGATGACAGCTCTTCACCAGGAGACCCTGCCACGGGACTCGGCAGCCCCCGGGCGCAGAGCCACAGGAGGCCCTGCCACGGGACTCGGCAGCCCCCCGGCGCAGAGCCACAGGAGGCCCTGCCACGGGGCTCGGCAGTCCCGGGCGCAGAGCCACAGGAGGCCCTGCCACGGGGCTCGGCAGCCCCCGGGCGCAGAGACACAGGAGGCCCTGCCACGGGGCTCGGCAGTCCCCGGTCGCAGAGCCACAGGGGGCCCTGCCACGGGGCTCGGCAGCCCCCGGGCGCAGAGCCACAGGGGGCCCTGCCACGGGGCTCGGCAGCCCCCGGGCGCAGAGCCACCGGGGGCCCTGCCACGGGGCTCGGCAGCCCCCGGGCGCAGAGCCACAGGGGGCCCTGCCACGGGGCTCGGCAGCCCCCGGGCGCAGAGCCACAGGGGGCCCTGCCACGGGGCTCGGCAGCCCCCGGGCGCAGAGCCACAGGAGGCCCTGCCACGGGGCTCGGCAGCCCCCGGGCGCAGAGACACAGGAGACCCTGCCACAGGGCTCGGCAGTCGCGAGTGCAGAGCCATCCAGTGAGGTAGGGCCTGTGAGCACTTGGGGAGAGACATTCTCGCTGGAGAACAGGGAGGTTTGGAACAGGGCAGTGTTACCGCAGCCTCGATTCGTGAGTGCTGAGTGGACTTCAGTCTCGCTGTGAACGACAGGGCTCCTGTCCTGAGGGGGCTCAGCAGCCCAGCCCTGGAGGGCAGTCGTCCCGAGTCCCTGGAAAGACAGCAGAGGTGCAGATGGTTGTGTTTGAAAGCCCCTCATCTGAAGTCCTCTCGGCCCTGAGTCGGAGATGGAGGCTGCGTCCCTGTGTGCAGTCGGGTCTCCCCCACTCAGACCTGCAGGCCCGGGCGTGCTCGGTCTGGGTTCGGAGAGCGCGTGTCTCTGCCATGCTTGGAGGTTAGTTCATGAGCAGTCCTGACAGTTCCCAACTGGGTTCCAAACAGGCTTCGGAGATTCTGTGGGGGAGCAAGGAGGCATTTGGGAGAATTCTTCAGCCGCCATGATCACCCTGCGGGCGTGATTCGCCACCTCTTTCATGTCACGGCTCATGTAAACGAGTCGCTGAAATTCTGCGCACACCACAAAATAAAGTGTGTGCCGATCTGACTAAAGAGTAGGTGTGCTTTTGATTCATTCACAAGCATGGCTACATGTTGGCTGTTGTCTTTTTTTTTTTTTTACTTGAAAAGTAAAAGAGGTCGGGGCCCCTGACTCAGAAGTCAGGTGTTGCATGTTGTAAAAATTCTTGGGTACACGGGTTGAAAGTTGCCATCCTGCGGTCATTGTCAGGAGGTGCACTGCACCATGGGTACACTCAGGCCAGCAGGTGCCCCATCTGTCCCTGTGGGGTCCTGCCAGACCACCTCTCTTCCTTGGCCCCTGGGGTCCCTCTAGTTCCTGGGTCTCGCGTTCAGCTGGAAAGGGGGGTTGAGGTGAAGAAAGGGAGGGTGACGCACTCGCCCAGGGCACGGGGCTGGGATGGAGAGCGGTGTGTCCTTGCAGACCAGGCCTCAGGGCCAGAGCATCCTCTGCTGACCTTAGGACTTGAGGCTGGTTAGTGCAAGCAGCTTGGTGGATGGCAGTGTGTGTGTATGTGGCACATATTTAGACCCGTTTGAGTCCTGGGCCTCCCTTCGCCTTCCCAGAGCCCTCGCAGCGTGCTCAGTGCCACGAGGCTGCGGACACACTTCCCCTCACCTCCCCGTGGCATCGCTGTCGGAGTGGTGACCGGCAGGGAACTGACTGCCTTCGGACACAGCAGCTTCGGCGGACTCTCCTGTCTCTCGAGTCCTTTGGCAGGACGTTAGCACCGTCATGACGTCTCGCTCACAGGGACAGTTTTCTCGCGTGCACACCCGGCCTGCACGCCCGTCTCCACGCCCTGTGGCGAGCCCGCTGCACTGTCGGAGGGGCGCTGCGTGGTGGGCCGCGGGCTCGGCTGCCAACCAGGTTCAGAGCGTCAGGAGGGCCAAACACACCTGCTCAGGAAGACAGCCGAGGGCGGGGCGCTTTGGGGCTGGGGAGAAGCGAGCGAGTGCTTCAGAGTCCTCGGCGGGGAGCAAATGGATTTGTTGGGGAGCTCTGGAGGGCCAGGTGAGCAGAAGACAGCTGGCCCAGGTGGTTCCCGCAGGGCGCAGGCCTCGGTCACCTCTTCAGGGGGCTCTGTGTCCCAGGGCACACACTTGGGAAGGCCTCTGATTGGCCCGCCCTCTGTTAGTCCCACCCACAGCCAATCAGCAGCAAGCAGGCTCCTGGCTGAGAAGGCGGCAGCACCCATGAGTATCTCAGGGCCATGGAAGGACCTTCTCTGGAAGACGACGCCCTCGATGCTGCGATGGGTTATGTGGAGGGCGTCTGGTGCTAATGTCAAGAGGCGGTGGAGCCGGGCTAAGCTACAGTCCTCAGGAGTGAGCACCCACGGAAGGGAGCCCTTTCTGAGGCACAGGGTCGTGTGGGTTTGGTCCTCAGTGTTGGGGTTCGAGAGGCAAGAGCAGAGGACACGTCTGCGGTGTCCCTGCCCCGAGGACCTCAGGCCAGGCCTCTGGAGGAGCTGTGCGCGCTCGCTGCCCTCGGGCCTCCCCGGGCAGGGAGGCCTTCGCCCCGCGTGCACTTTGGCACCCGCTGCTTGTCTCAGCGGGAGGGCGCTGCCGCCTTTCTGAGGTTTCAAGGACCTGCCAGGGAGAGGGTGGGCATCTGGGCTCCCGGGCAGACCGCCGCTGGGCTGGCGCTTCCAAGACAGGCCGCGTGTGTGAGGAGGCGGCGTGTTGATCTTAGAAGTGTGGCCGCTGTGAGCTCTGTCCGCAGCCAAGATGAGAAAGTGCTGAGGAAGGTGCTCAGATGAAAGGCCCTCTGTCCCTCGGCGGGGCCTCGCCTCTGACCCGGGCTGGAGGCGTCCCAGTCTGGCCTCGGCAGGGCAGACGGGCTGAGTCCCTGCAGGCCTGCCTTGCTCGGTCCCGGGGACAGGCTCACAGGGAGCACTGTGGGCGTTTGAGGCCTCGTCGCCCTGCATCACGCCGGGCGCCTGGCCCAGGTCGGTGCTGGGTGGTCACCGCCCCGCTCAGAGGCCCCTTGGGTGCCTGCGTGTGTCCGTCCCTGTCACCGTCCCCTCCCCCAAGCCACAGAATGAGTCCATACGTGTGGCTTTACCGGCTTTTACCGGTATTGTGTGGTGTGGAGAGGGAGGGGCAGCCAGGGGTCGGAGTGGCTGGCAGGGCAGGGCACGGAGCCCAGGTGAGTCCCCTGGCTGCAGGAGGCCTGTGCCAGAGAGACAGCTGGTCCCTCGCGCTCCTCGCCAAGCAGAGGGCCCACAGAGGTGCCCGATAAGCCTTAATGTAGACACACGACCACCTGTGCCATGTGCGGGGGGCGTGGAGAAGGAGTCCTGGGTCCTGCTGGGCTCCCCACCGAGGTCCCTTGTGGGCCGCAGGACCTCAGCAGGGCCTCCGGCAGCTCACACAGGAAGGCTGGGGGGCAGAGAGGGGCCAGGGCCTTGGGAATCGCCCACCCTGAGGCACCAGAAAGGCTGGGACTTCGTGCTCAAAGCCTCGGTCTCCGTGTGTGCTCTGCAGGTCCCACCCGGCTGCAGACACTGTTCTGAGAGACCCTGGTTCAGAGATGAGCTGGCTCAGGCCTGACCTCAACCTGGGCCAAACAGGCCCAGCCAGGCGAGACTCTCCGCCCCCCCAGCACTGACTGCCTGGGCGGGTGGAGGCAGCAGGGGCCCGAGTCAGGCTAGGGCCCTGTGCTCCTGGAGCTGGGGCACGTGCCCGCACTTTCCAGAGTTCCCGTCCCCGTCCTGGGGAGCAGGCTGTGCTCCTCCCTTGTGCCCACTCGCAGTCCACCCCCACACCATGAGATTGGGGGGAGGGGGCGATCCCTGCCCAGAGACTGCACAGCGTTCCGAGTCCCTGTGGCCTGCCAGGGCCCCGAGCCACGCTGGACCATCCCGTGGACTTGGATGCTGGAAGGGCCACTCAGCCAAGTGAGAGACAAAGGCAGCCAGACCTTGGGCAAGAGAAACGGGCCACAGCGTCGTGTGCCGACAGGCGGCGGGGGTGTTCTGTGCCCGAGGATCCCAGCCCACAGGCCCGGGTCGTCTCCTGTCCCAGGACCGAGAGGTGGGAGTTCCTGAGTCCACACTGGGGTCAGAGCATCGTGCAAGGTGGCCCGCTGAGGGGGCTGCCTCACACCCCCTGGGACAGGGAACATGACAGGCCTTTGATGTGCTGCTGGTCGGGGACAGAGGTACACTCCCTGTCCACGGAGCCAAAGGGCAGGTTTGGAAGGAGCTCAGGGCGGGGCGTATGTCAGCACCGATGCGGAGAACTCAGGGCGGTGTGAACGTGGCCGCATGAGGAGGGGCAGCACGGGCTTGAGGCAGTTATGGGGAGCCCACCAGGGGCCGGCCAGCACAGGGTGCGGCCAAGTGGGCCTGCAGCCATGGGCACGAGAACAGTTCATCCTGCTACTGTCTATTAACCACTGCGTTACTC